GAGCCTTCGGAGTTCTTCGCCGACCGCTGTGGACCGGACATCACCTTTGAGTTTAGCCGTGGCAAAGAGGTTCGCACTAGCAGGAGCTTTGCGGCTGCGAGGCTGTTTATAACGCTGTTCAGAGACTCTAGCGTTCTGGCAGCATTCTGGGGGGTGTTGGGCATTCAACGGCGTGAACCAAGTGCTTTGAAACCAGCGCGAAGGAACAGCTGCGGTGCCGCTTGGGAAACTTTTGAGAGATTTGTGAACAAACTCAGACTCAAAGTGGTAGGCAAAGTGGTGGGAGGAGATTCATCCTGATTACGGAGGACTAGATGCTCTGCGGGAGGGTGAAGACTGCGAAGGTACCTAAGCGACTCATCTTTTTTGGACACGAGGTCTTAAAGGCACAGGGCTTTAGATGCTCTGCCAATTTGACCAAGGCCTGTTAGTTCTTTAGCTCTGCGGGCATTAAAGTCGCAGAGGGTTTACCCCTTTTTCATCGTTCGTTCTTTAGGTCTTTTAATAGCGTTCGACCAGAGGTCCGAGATGCTACCCTCCTTACAGGATTTGTTTCTTTGACGAATGTCTTATTTGCGGCGTGAGTCTTGCCTCCGTGGCGAGGAGCTTTCAAGATACATTTAGGGATCATGAACATGCAAATCCAGTTTTTCATTTTATCCGATGCTGAGGTGCAGTTGTCAAGGGCGTGACCAACGACCTCAGACTACTCATTATGAAAGGAAATTGGGACAAACTGGACCGTTTTAACTTTGGAAGACATGACATTAGAAAGATCTGGTACAGCGCTTTCAAGGAAGTCAGTGGGATCAAACGATTTCGCCATACTGGACATCGCCTGAGGGACGCCAGAACTAACGGGTGCATCAGTGGAAGGAGCACTCGCTAAAGTGACAGAGGTTTAGCTGGACACGCGAGTGGGCAGATTGGACCGCGAGAATTTCGGCATTTAAGAGCATATCCAACGGGGAGCCGGAAAATTTCATCCAGGTTGACTGAGGAGTCAGAGCTCTTATCCTACCACGAAACTGAGCAAAAAATTATCGTTGTTAACTTTAAGGACAGAAGCATCATAGAAACCGATGGTCAAATTCGAGATAGCAACAAACAAGCCAACACAGACATCTGCAGCGTTAACAAATCTGGATATCAACAAACCGACCGGGATTAATTTCATTATCATCAGCACAAAAGAAGGAGCAATGAAATGTTATAAAATGACAGATTTGAGTTGTTTAAACTTCTTGTGACCGCAGTTCTTGTCGCGATTGTGGAGAAGGTTTATCGCGGGCCAGCATCAGTAAGTGAGAAGATCCTACTGAGATGTGATCCTTCGGTACACAATGAAGCACTAAAAATAGAAGTACTGTCGAAAAGGAAGAGGCAAACAATTGCATGCCTAGAGTAGGAGAGGTCTCACCCAGAGAATATAAGGACTGAAGAGAAGAGCAAAAGCCCAGACCAGGCTGCGGTTTCCATACCAGAATTCAGACCAGATCGTAGATGGTTGGTGTTATTTCGTTGGTACCCGGCACAGTGTTCGTGGAGAGTTCGGTTGTAGGAGTGAATTTGCTGAGCCTGTCTAAAATCCCGTCCTAGGCCTTCTAACAAGCGAACCATGAGCATCATATCAAACATGAAACTATTTTAAAAAGTTTATCACAACAATTAGGCTATTACTTGGTTGCTTATATACCATCCATAACTTTCGATGGTATCCTGGACATCTTAAAAGTCCGGTAGAATTTAAGTATCTGTTCTGTTTTAGAGAGCATGGATTCAAAGTTGTTGTATCATTCTCAACAGCAGCTTGGCGTTCCTTTTAGAAAGTTTAAAATTGTTGGTGTTAAACGCGTTTTTTGTTCACAGTCAGCACTTTGTTGATTATGATTGATGTAGATTGGGTCATCCATGGCGCATGCCTTGCTCGGTGTCTCCTACGAATAGCGACGTGACGCTCAATCCCTCTACCTATCTATTAATTCCAATCTTTCAGTAAAGTATCTGCGTTTGAGCAACAAAATCTGATAAATGGGGCGCATAAAGTGTCCGCATTCACCATACTTAGGTGAATAAGAGGTGTAAGGCACCTGGTGCCAAGTGACTGTCAGAAAGACGATATGTTCGTCTTGTTCGATGTGATCAACTATGTCATTAAAAGTTTTAATTGCAAGTCAGTCGTCGCTACCGATTCCGCAATTTTCATCCTAATTGAAGTCGTCATAGTTGTGTTTCTGCGCTGAATAGTTTTGTTTCTTTCGTTGTGTTTCTGCGCTGAATAGTTTTGTTTGTTTTGTTGTGTTTCTGCGCTGAATAGTTTTATTGCGTCATCTATTCGGTCTAGAAAAAGATCTCATGATAGCTAGTTTTTTCATACTTTGAAGTCTTGCTCAGTATATATCTGATTCTTCTGTGTTCGCAAGTTAAGCGAAGCTCCGCTTTGTCTCTGGTTTTCAAATTAACTTTTCTTGTAGGTTTATTTGTATGGCCGAACACGTACCTAATTTGAAAAATTCATAAACCCAGAAAAAAAGGGTCCGCATCAAATGTAAGCCATGCGTGTTTTTGTCTGATTTGGCGTGCTGGAAGTTGCTGAGCTCAGCACTTTTTTTCGTTTTAAATGATATCCAAATATGGTCATTGATTCATTTAAGCAGCGCTCAGTTTTCATTTAAGTTCGCAGTGTCGAGGAAAACCGTTTTCGTCTAAATTTGAGCGAGTAAAGCGAGCGAGCGCGCTTCTTTATGGTTAGTTTAAGCCGTTCACAACAATTTTTTATGCCTATATTTAATTTTTCTCGAGTAAAATTAGTTTTTGGAGTTTTTTAATGCCAACCTAAGTCGCAAATATTGTTGCGACAAAATGTGTTCATTTTTATCAATAACCAGCTATTAAGTACAGCCAATGCTAAGGATATTAACATAGACTATTATATTACAAATAGCGCTTTAGCTTCAAGGTATCTTGGATCTGTAGCGTAGAGGTAGGGAAGGAGACCCGCAACAAAATGAGAGGGTTCGAACCTTGGCAGGGTTGGATGTTTTTAATGAACTTTTTCGTATACTAGCTAAAATGCGTCCGCTCTATAAATTGAGGATGTTAGTTGGTTACTCTTTTTTTTCAAATTGACTTGTACTTTTAATGCGTCATAATTAGCTTGTGTCACTTCGCAATTATTTAGACTAATAATTAGCGTGCGTCTTTTAAGAAATTTTGTGGACTCAAAGTTTTACTCATTCAGTTTTTCCCATAAGAGTTATCGGTCATATTTTTGCTTTTGTATGCGAAGTGCAACTTCGCTTCTTTTGTAAAGATTCTGGGTTGTGAAATGGAGCCCTCGAATTGCTAGTGTTTTTTTTAGAAGGGTAAACCTTAGTGCTTTGTCATTTGACGAGCGTGCCTTATATATCTGCGCAAATGTTTTCTGTGGTTTTATGCTTGCCAATGATTCGTGTTCTGAGCTGTTTGGCAGAATATTTGACTCAGAGGCGAAGCAGAGCTTACAAAATAGCGAAGAGAAAACAAAGAAACAAAAAAAACTAAAAAAAAAAACTTTTTTAGGAAAAAATTGATATATTTTCAGAAAATATCAAAAAAAATTACCACGAGTATTAAATAAGCTTTTAGTTTTTCCCGAGCGGAACCAAAGCTGACAAAAAATTGGGTAGGCGCACATTGAGCCGAGAAAAGAATGCCAAAAGAAATTTTTGTCATTCAAAAATTTTTTGATCAATTAATTTTTAAAGCTTGAAATATAGTGTTACGTCAGATCCTTTTACACGTGTCACGCAGAAAAAACTGCAAGTATTTGAAATTTTTTTTGAAGACTATGTTCGGAGCATTCTGCTACTTGCACAGTAACCGGCTATCCTTGTGTGTCATGTTGTTGTGTAGATGGACCATGGTAGTTTTCCAATGTTGTTAATTAGTTTTTACCGTTCTTTCTGTATTGTAAATGGAAGATACTGTAACTCGGATCCCAGCTGCGCTTGACTGTAACACTTCCCTTGGATGTAGACACAAGTTGGACGCTTCATGTTTTTTTTTTCAACCAATGCGCAACGTTTTGTTCATATCCTTCATACTTTGGTTTATATTTTCGCGGTTTCATTAAGTGTTAGCTTTCCGCTTTTCAAAAGCGCATTCGCTGTTGTATTTTGAAGCAAACTTGGGCTTTTTAAAGCGAGCGACATTATCAAGTTTCTATTAACGCGTGAGTAAAGTAGGCGCTAAGTTAATCCGCCTTAGAAATCATTCCACACTGAATTGAAGGTACGTGATCCAAACTTTCAATTGCATTGTTACACTAGCATTGCGTTTAGAAGAGGGCGGGGATTTTTAAACAAGAAAGTCCTTTTATGCACTGAAAATTAAATAGATTGTGTTATATCAGCTTTATTCGTGGCTACATTTGAATAGGGTATGGATATGGCTCAGTTGGCATGACATGAGACTATCTCCGAAGGTGGGGGTTCAAAGCTTTTTTAAATTAAATTTTAACTTTTAAAGTTTCCGTTTTCTATGTTTTATTGTATGCGAATGCCGCTTACCTGATATAAAAACTGTTCTCTGAAGAAAAAGTTTGTTGTTAATTGCGTTCAGAGGTTTGATGATCAATTATTAGGCACATTAAGCGATAGCGGATACCCTCCATTAAAATATTTGTACAAAGTACTAGCATATTTTTTACTATGAAGTGAACTTTTTTCATGACCCGTGTTAACAGTTATCTTTTTCAGTTGCTTATTTCGTTGTTTTTTTTACTGTTGATTTGAATTAGTGCGAATAGTTTCTCTTTAAAATGCAGTCAGAACTATGTGGACAGAGGAATTGCATTTGACGGCTTAGCTGTTCTATTTTAAGGTATTAGTAATAATGCCAAGTCGTCACAATTACATCATTGAATTGCCGTGGTATATTTACTCTTCTGACGTCTGAAGTAAATTTGATTCAGTACTCAATTCAAAATTGAATTGCTCCAATTTAGCGGACTATTTTAGATAAAAAATTCGCTGATAAAAAAGCTCAGAGACAGTGTATTGAATAGTCACAAGTTTGAAATGGGACCTAAAAAAGTTTATCCGAATATATTCGACAACAAATCCCTAAAGAAATGTGTTTCTTCGCTAAATCTGTTGAGAAACAGTCAAGATAGTGTCTTCGAAGTGGAACAAAGTGTGCTTGAATCAAGTCAACAAAACAAGAATAACGAGGTTGATGTTGCTCCGGAAAAGACATGCACATCTTGTCAGTGCAATTTCACTGACCGGGGCGAGCAAGTGGCCCACTACAAAAGCGACTGGCATCGATATAATCTAAAGAGAATGCTACGCTCTGAGGAGCCTGTAGACGAAGAGAGCTTCAACGCTAGTATTGAGGCAAGTGGAGACTCGTCAAGCATATCAGGCAGTGACTCAGAACCAGATGACGATAGCAGACATTTGCAACATCAGACTATAATGGAAGATGAACCCAGTTGCACCTCAGTGTCACTTACAGGATCCACGCATGATACCAGTGCCACTTTGAAACTCCACCTCACATCTCTGGATAGTGATGTTATCTACTCAGTACACAGATGTCTGGTTTGTAGGAAAAAAGAACAGGTTTCAGAAGATGTGATCATCGATCGAGTGAAGAAGCTGCTAACCAGAGAGATGCTTAAAACGACCATCATAATGCTATCTAGCGGTCATTTTGCAGCTGCAGTTTTCGAGAACGAAAAACCGATTGTACACAAAACGTTCCATAAGTATGTCGTCCGAGCTAAACAAGGAACATCGCAGGCGTCTAGTGACAATAGAGGGCATAAGGCCAAATCAGCCGGAGCTAACTTGAGAAGACATTGCGAAGCCAGTCTAAAAGAGGAGGTCTATTCTTTGCTTCAGTCGTGGTCCAAACAAATAGCAGAGTCAGACCTGATTTTCATCAAGATTTCAACTGAGAACAGCTCAATTCTTTTCGGAGGCAAACATCCTATTTTGTCTAAGCAGGATCTGCGGATAAGGTCAATACCGTTTCCGATGCAAAGACCTACATTTTCAGAGCTGAACAGAGTTTTCAGGAATCTAGTACAGACAACAGAGCTGGACAAGGAGAAGTATAGGGAGATCAAATTGCAGAGGTCTCCTCCTGGAACCCCGGAAAAGAAATTGACGCAAAGTCAACAACCGAAAAAAGAAAGAACTCTTTGTAAAACGCAATCATCAATGATTTCATCCAAACTTACAGAAACTAGCGAGGAACTTTTGATAAGTCGGAAGCAAAATGAAGAAGGAAATTGCGATAGCGTAGAAAAGATTGTGGAAAAAGAGGATGAGATTTTGCAACAAGTTATTGATTTGTATGAAACCAACCATGAATATTGTTTTGCATTTACTTCAACAAATATCGAATTGCTAAAAAGTTTGAAGTTTCTTAATAGCGATACAGGTCTTCATTACTTTTCTCGACTCAATGATTGCAAGTTTATAGAATTGCTTTTGGATAATGATTTCGATGTAAACGAAAGAAACAATAAAAACAAAACGCCATGTCAATTGGTGACGCACAAGAAAGCAAGAAATATCTTCCGAAAATTTAGAGCCAATTATCCAGAAAAGTTCGACTACTCTCTATCGGGAATCCCTGAACCACTGGACGAAGAAGAGGAAAAACGGAAGCTGGACAAATTGGCTCAAAAGCGAAAAGAAAATAAGCAGAAAAGAAAAGATGCGGCAAAGGTAGAAAAACAGGCGCAAGAACTGGAAAGGATTGAGAAAGAACAAAAAGCAGCATATCTTCAACTGTCAGACAGGGAAAAAAGAGCTCTGGCAGCTGAAAGAAGACTGGGCGGAACAGTCAGTGGCGTGGATAATGCATTTGTGCTGAGGTGTTTCCTATGTGCTAAGAATATTGACAGTCTGGTTCCATTCAAGTACTGTGATAACTCTTTTTGCTCAACTGATTGTGTCCATACGCACAGAAAGGCATCTCTTAGTTCAAAGTGATGTCTAAAGATGAAATATAATTTCGAACATGGAGTTAAAAATCTATGCTGGTTTATTTGAATTGAGACAATCTTAAGATTGAATATAAAACTAATAAGAATTAAATTTAGTTACAACTTATTTTTATAGGCTAACTAATCAAGTATTCTGACATACAGACTATCGGAGATGGTAAAAGAGTAAAATAAAACTAGCTTTATTATGATAATTTTGTAGCTGTGTGAAACATTTCATATCGGCTCATTAATCCATTAGGGCACCGACATTTGATAGTTGAATGCCTCCCACATCCGCTCCTTCTAAATTGTCGTAAAATTATGACAAATGATTCAGTTTGGTCACGCTAACAAAAGTTTAAATTCGGAATTTTCGGGGATGATTCTGAATTCTTCATTCAACTCCTTCAGGGTATTTAGCGCGTACTCGGTAATAATTTGACACTTTTCCCTGAGTCACAGTCACATGTTATCATAAATGACATTATGACCGCGAGGAAAATTAGTATCTTTGCCGAAATGTCATTGGCATTGAGAAAAGTAGACTTCTAAGTCTTCGAAGTGTAATCTGAAAGGGGCATCATTTACATGTGGCCAACGTAAGGTTCTCGTTGAATTGCTCGTCCGTTTTCATTCTACCCTCTAATTACGGTGTATGATTTTCAAATATTTCAGACTGGCCATGAATACGATGAGTATATTCCAATATCTGGCACAGTTGCGCCAATCCCTCACATTTGAAACAGGAGACGTATGTGCCAGTCTGTTCTCATTCCGAGACAGACACATAATGAATCCTAAACTGAGGTTTGACAATCCGGAGGTCAAAGTGCAGTCGTTTAAGCCCCCACTTGCCCCTCCTTACGATGAGATGATCACTTCGCATCTCAAGGCCATATCATTCATCCACAGACAGAACTTCGCAGATTGCTTCAAAAAGTACGTAATAGTTAATTTACAAGTAACAGTAGCTGTAAGAATATATCCTGAAAAATGGTAAGAATGTTAGTTGTTTCGGAAGTTTGATTGTGCGAACAATTAGTTTTGCGAGAGCTATTGTTTTTTAATCATGAATTAAACTTTTCCCTTTAAACAATTTTCTTAAAAAATTTGTAGGAAATAGTCACTTCTGTGAGGATGACCTTCAAATAATTTTGAGCTTGTCAGTATTTTGAATTACCATTCTATTCGAATTTTGTCTTTATCTTGGTTGTAACCAACTTCTAATTTTGTTATTTTTCCGAGCGTTAAAAATGGGTAGGAGTTTTGTATTCGGGTGTGTTTTAGTTTTTAGTTTTTTCCTTTTTTTGTTCCGACCGTTGAAAATAAGGAGGAATTTTGTATTGATTTAGTTTATTTATTGTTTTAGTTTTAAAGAGTGTCAAAACCTAACCACGCACAAAAAACGACATTCAATTGAATTAATGTGTAGTTTGTTTTCAAGAATATGGTCGGAACCTTCTGGCTATCCTTGTTTCCTTTTTTGTTTTTTTTTGCTCAAACTTGAGAGGTTTCGACTAAACCGGTATCGAATAATCCGCCTCAAATTACGTAGTTTGAAAGAACATGCAAAAATTTTCATTCATGTATGTGCCGGTGGCAAGCGAATCTTGAAATTCGTGACGGATTTTTTTTCGGCTCAACGGGCGTCTATTAGTTTTCATTCGGTTTAGTTACAGATTCATAAATTTAATTGCAATGTTTCATTTTCTGCTGGCAATTGTCTTTCTCGACAAGTTTTCCTTAAATTGAACTTTAATTGAGACAAGCGTAAGAAAGTTTTGATAGATTTTTTTGATGTTTTTTCCTATTTTTTTTGACAAAATGGCTTTCGTTTAACTGTTTTTATTGGCTAGCTTGCCATCTTATGTTTTTTTTGCGTATCGCAACTGGTGCGAAGCTCAGCTTTGTCTGTTTGTTTACACAGCGCAGCATAGTGCGATAGTACGATGCAAAATTTTTTCCCCAAACCTAAGTCGCAAAATACAAGTACAAGTTAATCAGGAGGCTGCATTGGTTTTATAGTACCATATGCCCTTGTGTTTGATCTGTAATGGAGTAACACAGTTGACGCTTTTTACACATGCAAAGCTTGTGTGATAGTATGAATTATCTTTTTTTTTCCAACCTTAGTCGCAAATTTTTTTGTTCATTTTGAAAGTGTTCATTTTGATCAATAACCAGCTATTAAGTAGAGGCAATGCTAAGGATATTAACACACTAAGGACTATTATATTACAAATAGCACTTTAGCTTCGAGGTATCACGGATCTGTAGCGTAGTGGTAGGGAAGTAGACCCGCAACAAAATAAGAGGGTTCGAACCTGGGCAGGGTTGGATGTTTTTAATGATTTTTTGTATACTAGTTAAAATGCGTCCGCTCTATAAATTGATGCATGTTAGTTGGTAATTTTTTTTTCAAGTTGACTGGTACTGCTAATGCATTATAATTACCTTGCGTAATCTAAGAATTTTTTTTTACCGAAAGTTTAACTTATTCAGTTTTTTTTCAGTAGCGTTATCGGTCATATTTCTGCGTGTGTATGCAAATTACAACTTCGCATCTGTTGAAGTGAACAAAGTTTTTTTGTTTCTTACAATAGTGCAATAACAAACACTCCTTCACAGAGAGCTTGCGCACATCTTCACAGAAAGCTTACAACTGTTTTTTTCGCGAATTATGAAAAATTTATTTTAAAACTTTTTCAAATTTCAAAATTTATTCATTATTTGGCTTTATTGTTTTCTATTTTTTCCATGCAAAATTTCAGTTCTTGTGAATAATAAAGCTCTCATTTTTTGCCGATTTCTCGCTCGTGTTTGCCAAGCTGCAGCTTTGTCTCCATGTAAAATTTCTACGCAGCTTAGAATGTTTTTTGTTTTGTTTTTCACGAAAAAGTAAACTTATATCATGCTGAAGTTAGCATAAAGTTTGACTTTCGTGGATTTACCTCTGATTTTTAAAATTTGTAATCAAAATTTATGTTCTGATTGGAAGGCAAATTATGCTCCAATTTGGAAAGCGGAAATGGTGCAACATGGGAATGACTTTTCGGGTTGGAAGTGAAGTTACAAGTTTTTCAGCGGAAAGTGAATTTAAAAGTTTGCCAATTTTCTCTAATAGGACTATCTCATTATTTTCAACGCTAATTATTTTCAACGTTTCGAAAACGTCATTAATTTTTTTTCTGTTTTATGGAGTTCCTTGACATTTTTCATGTTGTTTTTTGGCTTGCTTACATTGATCGGCATCGTGGCTTGCCATTAGAAAATCCAAGTTAGTTTTGAGGTACCTGTCGGTTTTCAGAATAAACATGTGAAACAAACAGTTTTTTGGGCTAAGTTTTAAATTGTTTTTGGAGTTCAAATAAAAATCTGTAGTTTTGTCGCAACCTATGCTCAGGATGACAAATGTCTGAGTAACGGCGGGGATCTTTATGCTAACTGAAGTTTTTGGTTTGTTTTTGGAGTATCGTCTGTCTATTTGTGTTTGTCGATTTGAATCCCGCAATGCGGATTTTCCGGAGGGTTCAGCTTTTATTTACATATCGATTGCCATTAGTAAAATTCATAATGATGCCGGAATTTGAGATCCAAATGAATTTTTAAAACATTTTTTTTTGATAAAAAAAGTTTAATTGATGGGCAATTCATCGCCTCAGTGTTATAAATTCGGTTGAAGGTATTTATGTATATCAGTAAAATAATGATAAGTAATAGGTTTCTTAGAATCTGAATAAAAGTTCATCCAAGGTATCACTTGGGAGTAAGGGAATTTATAAATACTTTTCAATAATTAAGTCTTCATCCCACTATAATTTTCTTAAAATATGTAAACATTGTTCTTTTCAACTTGGATTGTTTCTCGACGACAACAAGTTGCAAAATGAATCACAGTTAAATATTCTTCAAGTATTTGTACACCAAGAGGTTTTCAAAGTTGAATTTAACTCTCTTGGTCAACAAACGAGCGGTCGTGAAATATTACCTGATTACCTTCAAAATTATTTTAAAACCTTCAAACTTGAGATCAGCAGTTCATAAAAATTAATGAATATGGCTTATCATTGAGGGTTTTTTGTTTTCCGATAGATCAGACTAATTTAGATTTAAAAACAAAAATAGCTACTTGCTGTGCAAACAACATCACTGTAATCTATTTTTGAAACTTTTGGGCTTTTAAAGGTTCTTGGTGTTTTTTGGGAGGTAGACTTAACTTGCATAACCCATCCACTAACTGCCTAAAAAGCTTAATATTATCAAAGATGTATCAAACTACGTTGTCTGTTTTCAAAGATTCTTCGCAATTACTTATTTAAGTCATTATCTGTTCCGTGTATAAATGTAACAAACATTATTTTTAGAGTGTAAATAAACTAGCCGAAGTATAAAACAACCGGAAATGCACAGAGTACATAAACCAGCCAAAAAATTATGCGATTTTTCAACTTTTATATACTTCTAGATACTTCTAGTTTCAAAAATGGACTTGAATGCTTAATCAAAAAATGTGAATGCATTCTAGTTTCAAAAATGTTTTTTTTTCTGAATTCCCAGATCTAGTTTTTTCTAATTGGGGTTATCTTAAACAAAGTGTAGTTATAATTAACTCTTGAAAGTCAAAGAGCTTTAACATGATATAAATTTTTTCAAGATTTGAAAGTTGAAATATATTCCAAAGCTCTCAATCAATCATTTTTTATCCGATTTCCGTGAGTAGTTTGTCTATAAATTTCTCTATAGATCTCTATGCTTTGGGTTAATGCTTCTAAGCTTCAATTGAATTTTTTTGAAATACTCACTGAAATGATTATAGAAGTAGGCGAATTTCTGGAAAAAAAACAGTTTATTAATTCACTCAACACTTCAAAGGGATGATGGGAAGTGATGTGTTTCAGCCATCTAGCATGTTTGCAAGCCTTCAGCAAAGACTTCCAGAACAACCAAAAGGAAGACAACTGGTCACTACCACTGATGGTGGAGCTCATCATTGATGCACGTCATCTGTCGCTGAGGTAACGGGCAGCAGTCATTTCAACCCGGGTCTGGGTTAATTTGATCTGTTATCTGACTTTTTTGTGCTTATGTAAAATTATCCGTTATTCTGTAAACGGTATATTTCAGGTGTAATATAATCACGGTGACTGATGTTTAAGGGCAGCGAGGCAGATGTACAAGTGTGATGAGGCGAAGACCGATGAGATCCTGATGCAGTGTGCGGACGCCATCATGACCTGCTTCCGAATATGTGCCTCGGACACTCGAACGGACATCGAGAGGAGCAAACGGTGGGGAATGTTGCATGTTGTGAACCAGCTGTTTAAAATATACTTCAAGATGAATAACGTCAAACTGTGCAAACCTCTCATTCGTGCAATCGAAGGCTGCAATATCAAGGAAGAATATACTAAGGCACAGTTGGTGGCCTATAAGTACTTCGTAGGGAGATTGGAGATGTTTGAAAATGATCACAGAGCTGCCGAACAATCTCTCCTCTACGCATTTCACAACTGCTACCCTGGATCCCGGCGCAATCTGAGGCTCATTCTAATCTACCTGATTCCAGTCAAGATGCTTCTGGCTAAGCTTCCCTCTCCAGACCTCATCCAGAAATTTAGTCTTTTTCAGTTCCAAGAAATTGCTCTATCGTTGCGATCGGGAGATGTTCGAAAGTACAACAGAGCGATGAGTAGATTTGAAAACTTTTTCATCAAGACAGGAATCCTTCTGATTTTGGAGAGGCTGAAAAACATCGTGTACAGAAATTTGTTCAGGCGACTGGTGCATATAAGTGAGTCTCACCAGATTGACATCAAGGCGTTCATGGAGGTGTTGCATGTGATGGGAGAGACAGACCTGGACATAGATGAAGTGGAGTTCATATTAGCCAATCTGATCTATCTGGGATATGTGAAAGGATATATTTCACATCCACACCTTAAAGTCGTCATTAGTAAGCAGAGTCCGTTTCCTCCCATCTCGAGCGTAATTTAACTGGTAAAACTACTCTCCGATTTATTTAATCATTTCTTTGTTTTTGATGTAATTGAATGTTTTGATTGTTTTTTTTTATAAAGACAGATATCTAGACCTGAAAATTGAGGTTAATGATAATTTTACTAGAATTTCATGTGACTTTCAGAAATCATGCTGAAAGCTCATGGACGCTGATCAGATGCTTAGTTAGTTTTTCGATTTGCCAATTGAGATTGTTGCACTCGCAAAAATACTAGGCGATGATTCGTGTAAAACTTTATGTACTGAATGAAAATCGACAATGGGATGACAAAGGGAAAGGTTATGTGAGTGTTGCTCCGAAATCTACTCTGGAACCAGTTGCGTCAATCGGTCCAGTTGTTGATTCTGATGAAGGTCTGGTCGAAACAAAGCCAGATCCAATTACAGAAGGAGCATCTGATTCGCTGTCTTCATTTACTGTTGAGGACGTGGAGAATGTAGAAACTGTTGCGCCCCCTGCAGAACCAACATCGCCAATTGTTCAATCTTGTGCCAGTGGTGGAAGTGATCATAAAGAGATGATGATCATAATGAAGAGCGAGGCTGATCCTAGTGTGATTCTGCTGCAGAGTAAAATCCAGTCGGATACCATGTACCAGAAGCAACAGGACACACTAATTGTGTGGAATTCTGAAACAGAAGGAGACCTCGCACTCAGCTTCGAGGAAATTAAAGGTGCGCTGGTTTTCAGTTATTGCTGAGTTTTGTTTACAATTGTTTCTGCATTATTGTTTGAGTAGCATACGGCTTATATCCATTTTTCGTTTTAAATAGCAGGAGCGAGTTCTACTTGATGAAAGCGCACCGAGTAGTTGATAATTCACCATTAAATAATGCAAAACACGCTCTTTAATTACATAATCGCTAATGGTGAGAAAAATGAAGTTTCAGAATGGTTTTAAAATTCATGCTTTACAATGGAATAAAAAAAATAATCTTTTGGTACAGTTTTGCCAAATTGGGATATTTTTTAAATAAAAAAAATGAAATTTTCTTGAAATTAAACAGCTTTAAGATGATAAAATGTGTTGTATGAGACTTAAAACTTTTCTGGTTTTTATGCAGAGAAGTAGCATTTTTTGTCGTGGTTGCGATTATGTCTAGTGCGATCATACTTATAACAAATATGTCAATGAATGATGCGAATTGAGAGCGCTCTCTGATTTTAATATTTTGAAAAGTTTTTTTTTAAGTTGTCTTGTTTTAGTATTTGTTTATTATAATAATTCTATAAATATTGAATGTGTGGGGATTGACATTATTGCAATAAAATCTATCTATATATCTATTATCTATTATAAGCTATATCGTTTATTGGAATGTTAAGAAATTTATTTTCGAATTTTCATTTTGAAATCGGTGTTTGTTTCAACAAGTTTAAAATTAGGAACTAAATGTTAGGAGGCTGCCAGGTTCCCCGTGGTTGCTAATTTGGCCTCCACTTAGTAGTTGGGTTCTGTCAGGATACTCACAGGGGTTGCGAATCATGCGTACAAATTTGGCTGCTCATCGAGATGTGACGTTTTTGTGATTTTTTTTAGATTGATCGAAGAAAAAATGAGTTTCCCACAACTGTAGTTTGATGCTGCCAGAGTACTCTCAGGGGTTGATTTTCTTGTCTCAAAATGTGACTCCTCGAAGGTTTGTTGTTTCCGAGTAATATGACGTTTGTAACGATTTGTTCAAAAGTTTTCAAAACTAGGATATAAAATTTTTATCATACTTTTGTAAGTTTTTGAACAAATCATCAAAAAAACGTCATATTTCCTGCAAGATTTAAAACATTGGAATTTCACAATTCTATAGCTGGGTGCTGTCTGGTTCGTCTAAGTGGTTGCGAATCTTGTCTCCAATTATGACTGCTGAAAATTAGTTTCGGGATATGACGGGGAATCTGAAATTCTCAACCCTATAATTGGGTTATTTCCTCCAAGTTTGTCGACTCCAATCTTCTTAGCTTCGAGGTATGCCTATTTTTGGTTTTTCACAACTTCCATAAAAATAGGCAAAAAAACGTAACAAAGTTTGAAAATTTCTCAAAACCATGGTTGGGTGCAGTTAAGATACTCTCAGAAAGTTATCTGGATTCCAAATGACTGCTCAACACATTTCACTTTCCTAGATATGACGTTTTTATGATTTTTCAAAAACTCTGAAGAGTTAAGTTTCAAAAGACGTACTCCTCAAAATTTGAAATGTCGACTCATTGGTGGAGTCAAGTGAGGGAACTCAGTTACAGATGTGGCCGGTATTCTAATATTTTTGCTCAAATTGTTTAAGTTTTCTAAATTGACGTATGATGATATTTCAAAATTTTTCATTAAACCAAAAATCAAATTAAGAAAAAAGTTGCTTGTTTTAAATTAATTAAGCTGGATTTGTTGGCAACAAGCGATATGCGTACGCACTTAAAGAAGAACTAATTTAAATAAGGGTCTAATTTATAAAGTCAGTGATTTTGTCAATGAAATCAATAAATATTAAAACAGCAGTTGTATACTGTCGGCCGTTTTAGTAGTTTCTATACTATTCTGAGTTGAAAATACGAGTATCTGAAACCCAGTAATTTTGGAGATTTGATCATTTTAATTTAAGTAGAAACTCTAAGTTGAAATTTTTTAATCGTTCAGTTTTTGAAATCAAAAGCATTGTGGGATGCCGCCGTTTTTTGTCATGGTTGCATTTTTTCGTTTTTTCATGTATTTTATTTTTAAGTCGTTTTCACGTATATTAATCTCTTTGAAGCACCGGAGGTGCCTTACACGCTAGTAAATAAATTCAATTCCAGCAGACTCTCAAGTATCAAAACAAATTGACATCATCTATACTATATTTAAATGCTAGTGACAGCTATCTCCCATGTTAAAGCATAATAATTTTGCATGTTTAACGAAAGAATTTTTTCATGTTTAAGTTATATCATATATTTCAGTGCTTAAGAAAATGTTTCATTTAGTTTTCCGCAAGGTCATAAATTTTTCAGTATTTTTTTCGAGGCCAAATTAAGTCTGTCTGTATACCTGCTTTTTAAAATTAATTTGATTATGTCTGTCTACCCGTCTCCTAATTTTTTGACTTCTATCAAATCTATTATCTATTATATATTTAAATGCGGGCTTCACTATCTCGCCATGTTTAAGCTTTTTTAACGTATTTTTTGCATCTTTAACAAAAGAGTTTTTTCACGTTTTAGCAATGGTTCAGGTTTTTTTTCGATTTTCCATTTTAAATTCAGTGTTTATTTCATCAAGTTTGTATTTAGCAACCCAATACTTGGATGTTGTCAGAGTTTTCCCAGGTTTTGCGATGCTGGCCTACATCTATGATTAACCAAATCCTTGTAGTTTTCGAGATATGACATTTTCTATGATTTTTAAAAATTCCATTACGTTGAAGATCTCAGTCCTGTTGTTGGATTTTGTGAGGGTACTCTCAGAGGTTGCGAACCTTGCCTCTAGTTTTATTTTTATCAAAAAATTAGGTTCAAATGAAGCTAACAACTCTGCGTAGGAGCAGCCACAAGCATTCGTCCTTACGACGCGGATTCTTGGAATTACAAATAGTTCTGTTTTTGAGGAAAAATAAAGCAGATGGTGACTGGAGAGTTGAGCTGTTTTTGATTTTTAAACGTCCTTCAGTTTTTGCAATGTTTTAAGGAAAGTCACTGATGACCACCGCTAGTAACAGAATTCTGTTTATTTTTATGTTATTGATCATATAACTGGGATGAAAAATACGAGAGATCTCAAGCTCACCAAAAATTCCACTACCAAACTCGTTTTGTTTCTCAAAGTTGCTAGTCGTACTTCGTTGAAACCGTTTTTTGTCAAGTCACTGCAGCTTGTTCATTTTACGGTAACAACTTTTGACATGTTGACGTGTAATTAGAGTCTCTCTAACGCCTGTAGAACTCATGCAGAAGAGACCAGTGAACAAAATCAAGGGGGCTTCAGTTATCTCAACGCAAACTGAAACCCAAAATTAGGAATGATTTTACAGATATCATTAGAAAAGCTCCAAATAATGCTTAGTTCAAGAGTATAAAAGCTTTGAAAGCGCACTGTTCTCTCAACAGCCATATAGTTCGAGGATATTGTTTTGTTTTTTAGTTTTTCACAACAGTCTCGTTTAATAATATAGCACAAAAATATCTCGTGTAATCAATCATATTACAAAATCCTATGAACATAGAAGTTGTACAGATATCGACTTTCAATAATCGGCATATATTCAAACACTTTTAAAGCATTAAAGAAATTGCACACTTTATTCAACCTATTTTGAAACAATAATTTGAAACCTGTACCCCTAAATGAACGGAATTAGAAAATATTGAAGCGCGAGAACTAGAATTGTTTCAAGTGTTCTTGAAATTTTCTCGAGTGTCGTTCTATTTTTTTTTCATGTTCCATTGGGATCAGACTCTAGATTGGATTTTTTTGTTCCCTCCTAGGCTTCTTATAGAGTTTGTTTAATGGGAGCTGCTTCAGTCGTCTTCATGGTCATAAATGCTGAGTTCATTTAATTTTCCTGTGAAAGGTGGATCGCATAACTCCGTTGTTCCATGAGGGTGTCTGATGTAAGGTAGATCAAATATGGCTGTGTAAGAAGACTGGTCTGGTCGACTATGTTCTGTTTCAATGACGTTGTACTCAAGTTTCCTACAATATTGAAATGTCAATTGGTGGTTTTTGATGCAAAAGCGTCCAAGTTTTTCGGTGGTTTTTATTTTGTTCTACGATGTCTTGCCTTAGGTTCTGGCCTGTAAAGTTTGCTGTAAGTGATATATCACTGCACTGAAAACTTGAAGCAGCGCGTCTCAGAGCCCGATTGAGTTGTACAAGAGTCATACACGGTTACTGATAGTTGATATTGATACGAACTGGTTTTTCCCAATCGTATTTTTTCCTCTATCATGCTTTTATTTTTGGTGAGAAATAATGGGCATCGGTTCCGTTGCTGCTGCAAGTTGTGTAAGCTCATTGGGAAGCTGCCATATATTGGTTATCGTTAACCAAAGTGGTTCTCGAGGGTGCTGTGTGAACCAGTCGGTTATTTTTCCTAGTGTTTTTTGTGTATTGGTAGAGCATTCGCAAGCAATCTGTGCATCGAAAACGCCTGTTATCTTATTTGGATTCATCGCCATCAAATGACATTTTTGAAAAAGAGTCAGTACTTTTTTTTAAAAAAATTTCACACCATGTGAGTTCCAAGTGGAGTCGTACGCTCCTGTACCAACTGAATGAATCGCCACAACTAATGCTTATATGGTTTAGTCGAAGTTTCATTGGAATTTGATTGTTGCCTTGGTCTTCGCATCTTCCGTTTCAACCGACGATTCTTCACTTAGCCGGGTTCATAATGTGGATCCGCTGGGGAATATGGTTCTTTGTGGATTTGTGCGTTGGTTTAAAATTATGGACTGTCTAGTGCATCAGTCTCTTCATTTTCCTGAAAAACGGATAGTTTTCTCCGCGAATCAGTTCTTTGCCACGCGCATCTTCAAGGTGCGCTTTCGTCTCGTTGAAGTGACTTTTGTTGCATAAAACATTTCATTCCGTTCAATACAAACATGTTTACGTTTGATGTTAATTAATTGAGTTTCGCCTTCGCTTTTTCGTGCACAATCATTTCGTGTCCTCGGTCTTTCGAAAATTGAAATTTAGACAAAAAACAATTCGTCGATATATTTATTTGGTTTCTTTTAATCGATATTTTGTGCGTTCTCACTTGTGGATTGTTTTTTTTTTGCTTTTTGAGCAGCTGGTCTTTCGTTGATTTTTTTGATGCTTGGATTGACGGGTATCTGATACCTGGAGGACCAAGAAATCGTATGGGGCTTTTCATTTATTTTCACCAGGGAATGATATCGCAGGAATAATCATAAAATTCTCCCTCTATGTCTCTCCCTCTATGTATTCAAAAACAATGGTATTTCATTTTGAATCATCAAGTTGCAAACGGAATCACGGTATCTTTTTCCTGGCGATAAGCAAGGGTATTGCAATAGGGTACTAGACTTTTTTCCGTAAACAACTTCTGGACTCCTTCACCTCTTCGTCCTTTTTGCAAATCCTACTCTTCTCGGTTGTAAATCTTAAGCATGGTTAAGTTTATTATTTGAAATATCCGTCCTTTTCAATATTTGCTTTTTATGTTGGTGGTGATTTTACCAACTCGATTTGTTCAAATTTTTTTTGTCCTTTTTCTGGCTTAATAGGCTTCGTCCTATTTTAAATCGGCTTAGTGGCCTAATTTCGAGGGAAACATAATTTTTCTGCTCTCCTCTGGATCGCACAACATGCTGATTTTTGGTCTATATTATATCGATTTATTGGCTGCATATTGCGCCGGTCGATAGGCAAAAAAAAGTTTAGCTCTATCATCACACGACGTACACAAGAAAAGACGCTAAAATTCAGAGAAGGTGGTCGGAACATTCTGTGCTACTTGCGCAGCAACCGGCTATCCTTTGTTTGAAATGTAATTTATGTAGTGATTATTGACAGGGGCGGATTATGGGGGAGGGGGGGGGCTGGTGGGCCAAACGCAACCACCCACTCTCAGGATTTCGAACTTGTCGTCAAATCCCTTGCCCCGCTCAGGGATTCGACCTCTTGCGCCTCTCAGGGATTCGACCCCTTGCCTTTGAAAATTTTTAAGAAATCAATTTTTGGCCGACCAACCCTGAAATTTTTCTAAAGGCGCTTCTCAGGAAAGAACTCTTTAGAAAATATGAGATTTTGCTAAAGGGGGAGCGCTAAACGGACCCTGAGATTTTGCTAAAGGGGCAGCGCGCCCCAAAATAGCGCGATTTTTTGTCAAAATTATCCAAAAAGTGGCCAAATAGCCTTTTTAGTGTTCTGAGACCGCTCGGAAACTCAATTTGGTCGACCTAAAAAAGGTTGACAAAATTTTTTAAAAACAATTTGAAGTGGGATGATTTGAATTCACGAAGAAATATTTTATTTCTTTTTCCTTGGGACTTCATGATATTTGTCTGTTCGTAATGGTTTTGTTTGTTCTACTGTTTTGTATTGCAAGAGATGCGCTTCATCCCTGTTCTGGTTAGTTTCCATTGCAACTAGTTTTTAATCTTTGGACTGCGCATCGAAGTTTTATTTTTGCTTAGGCTGCACGACAATCTACGACCAAATTTGGGCATATCAGAACGAAGTGTCTGAAGCTGGAGGAGCTGGCAGTGGAGGGGAGGACTCTCCTGGAGGGGGAACTGGGTCGGATGTCACAGACACAGGGGAGGTGAACATTTCAACAGTATCGATGGGAGGCAACGAGAGCGAAACTAGGTGCAGAAATATCAGTGCGGCTCTCAACGGAGATCTCGAGGAGCTCCTGGAGGCCGGTAAAATAGACGCGATAAGATGGGACTTCGAGTACCAACTGATGAATGCCAAGTACAAAGAAAACGTCTGCAGAGTGATCGAGTCGGAAAAACTCATTCCAAAAATGATACAACTGTTCAGACGCTGTGAGGAGGAGTTTTTCATCAGTGGGTTGGAGCATCTCTACTCCATATTCAAAAACATGGTGTCAATGGGAAAGACGGCTCTCTACGAGATATTATTCTCAGAGGCTTGTCTGGATGATGTTATTGGTATTCTAGAGTATCCGCCAGGCAAGGCCAGACAACACCATAGGGACTTCATCAAAAACGCAACTCTAAAAGAGGCTCTGCCTATTAAGAAGGAGAAATTGCTACAGAAGATAAGGCAGACCTACAAAGTGCAGTACATTCATGATGTAATACTGCCAACGCCACCAATCATGGAAGAGATGAATTTGTACACGCTGCAGTCGTTTATCTACCTGAACAAGGCAGAGATAGTCACCATGATTCAGGAGGACGTACCCTTTCTCAAGGCGATTATAGCCCAAATATCAAAAGAGGACTCCTCCTACGAAGAGAAGAAGAACTCGTTTGGGTTCTTCAAGGAGCTGTGCATGTACTCGCAGTGTCTGGACGCACTCAAACGAGAGGCGTTCTTTGTTTTCATAATTGAGATCGGTATTCTTAAAGCAATAGCTCATATTCTCAGTATCGAGATAGACGAGTTAGCTTCGAAGGAGGAGACAGAAGGCACAGTGCAGTTGCAGTGGTCAGCAGTAGAAGTGTTCGCATACTTCATCGAAGTGTGTCCTAACGTAGTGCGAGAGTTCATCTTGACGGACCATAGAGAGAATGTCTCCTCAGATGAAACTCTACTGATTAACCTTCTCATGTACCAGATGTTGAATGATAGAGACGCGGAACTGGGGGGAGCGTTGCAGGTGTTGAATTTGTTCAGAATCATCTTGGATTTCTCAGTTGACAGTGAGGATACTCTGGTTGCAGCCAGACACGTACTGGATCCTTTCAGCAGACGTCAGTTGAAATATATCACTTCAAAGTTAATTGAAAAACGAGAGAGCTTCGGTTTCATTTTTGTTTATAGTGAAAAACGAGCGATCGTTGGTTTGGTTTTTGAGATCAATTATGTGATATTTTTTGCTGTTTTCTTTTAATTGATAAACAGATCGAGCCTTTGTATCCAAGTAAAATAATTATTTTAACCAACAACCACATTAAAATTCGTGGAGAAATTCAGTAAGTGATAGTGATATATTCGTTTTGATGTGAAAACGGGTTTTTTAAATTGATTACGGAAATAAATTGTTGGGAAAACGTACTCTTGTTGTACTCAAAGTGCGGGTGGTAAAAATTTTCGGCACTTTTGAAACTTTTTGAATAAAAAAGAGGATTTTCATTGCTGTATTCAAAGTTAGCAGGTGTTCGAGCAATTTCTGATCAATTCTGATTAAAATCTTGCCCAAAACCGAGCATGAAAGCGTCTTGAATATAATCGGCTCGATTTTTTTTTGTATTTTAATGCAGTGTGCTTTTTTGGATAAGAAAGTTTTTAAGTTATATATGTGTCGTTGAGTTTCCATTTTTTAAGTTGTTCACGCGCAAAAATGCTTTTTCGTGGTTTGACTTGAAAGTTCAACTAGAATTCTTTCTGGTCGACTATCCCCCGCCCCCCTCGGCACGCTGCTGTACGGGTATAGTGAACAACTCGGGTGTCTACGAAGATTGGATTCCCGATAATGAAGTAGAGCAGTAATGCGCTAAATTGTGTGTGTTGTATGTTTAGAATTGGACAGCAAAGACAGTTTCCTGAGCATGTTCTACTCTCGCTGTGTGCCTATTCTGATAACACAAGTACTGGCGATGACTGCTGAGCCAGATTCACTCGGGCGAGACACAGACAAAGACGAATACCGAACAGCTCTCTCCGCCCAGATAGTACTGCGACTTCTCAGCTACTGTCTAAGTCACGGACACGGATTCCACATTAGAAACTACTTGATCAAGAACGAACTCATTGGCCGCTTTCTGCTCCTCCTCAAGTCCAAACATGTATTCCTAGTTCTCACAGCTCTCAAATTCATCCGAACTATAATCGGACTGAAAGACGACGTGTTTAACAGACACGTGGTGGCAAACAAACTCATCCAGCCTGTAGTCAATGCATATCTCCGCAATGGACACAAGTACAATCTCCTTAACTCAGCACTGATCGAATTCTTCGACTTCATCAAAACTGAGAACATGAAGCTACTCATCATAAATATAGGCGAGAACTACATCTCACAATTTCAAGATGTCACTTATGTCACTACATTTCATGACCTAAAGACCCGCTACGCACAGTTGACAGATTTCGACAAGCACGAGAACGGTTCCGCACTCGGAACTCCTATCATGTCTACTGACTTCAGCGACAGTGAGAACGCCTCCGAAAAGTCCCTACAGTTCCTGTCGCCCACAATTGACTCGGCAGCTTCTAATTCGACATCATCACGAGCTTATCGCGGTGGAAACGATTGGCTGGCCAGCGAGAACGACGATGACTTAGGAGAAGACCCGTCAAAGCAGCTTCTGGCAGATGCAGAAAGCCCAGAGGAAGAGGCTAAGTGGATGGAGCAGTGGAACTATCACACGAGTCAGTTAAAAAAGAAGCGCGAACAGAAAATGGTTGGAGATGAAAGCAATGGCGGTTTGTCTGTTTTTGATCCGCAAATGTTCCTGAAAAAGACCACCAAAAGCAGTACAAATGGCAGTGCGAAACCCTCTTCTCTCACAATTGCACCCATCAAAAACCTTCCCAGTCAATTCGACAAAATCTTTGACGAAGATCTTGTTGACGATATGACCTCACAAGGACCACAGCATAAAATGCCCAGAACCAATCTAGACTGCGATGAGGACCCAGATATTCAATCAGCATGCTTCAGTCTCTCCCCTATTTTCCCCACGGACTCGCAGAGAGCCTCTACCCCTACCAGCAGTTTAGTGGACTATGACTCAGATTCGGATGATGATTATGCTGCCGATACCGAGGATGCCACAGACTCATCCAATCCCCCCAAAAACGAAGCCAAGACTGTAATCAATTCCGATCGAATAGAAACCATATGTGAGAAAACCGAGCAGTCGAGTGAGGATTCTGAGGGCAATCCATCGTCTCTAGAGTATCATAAGATACAAGATGGGCTAACAAACGGATCCTTGTCTGACTCTTCTGCAGAGGAATCTTTACCAAAGCCACCCCCTGATGACCTGCTCGCCATTGATTCTTCGCCAGAAGTTAAATCATGTAGAGTCAAAATTGAGACGGCTTCCCTAGAAGACACTAGGTTAACACCCAAAAGGGCACGAGAATGTATCAGCTCGCAAATGGATACATCCGATGTTGACCAGAACAGCGAGGTTGACACAAATCAGACGGAAAGCATAAGAGGACGCTTGTTTGGATGCGAAGAAGATGCTACAGATAGAGGAGGAGGTGACAAACAAGTGCCCAGCTTCGTTTCTGACCACGACTCACCGCCCAAAAAGCGAACCAGATCCGTAACTGATTCGGCTGAAAATCAAACTAAACCAGAAGCAGCAGACAAGGAATGAAGATAAGATTGAAACGAACCAAAAATGCAATCCTCCAATTTCACACGTAATATCTTAAACTGCCTCCTTAAAAGTATTTATTCCACACCCGGTCCCGTGAATGAAAAAACAATGAAATACTGTCAAGATCAAATAGACTTCTCTTTTATTCTCTGGCTGAATTTTGTTGACATATTTTCATCCCAATCTTGTGTGCAGTTACTTTTTGCTACTTCGGCTAGATGCGGTTTTCGCTACGATTCAATGGACTTAACTCCTGTAATCTAGTTTTGAGGTTTAAAAACCGAATTGGCGGGAAGTCTATACTGGAATTGATTGATGCCGAATCGACTACGCATTGCTCACTTTGCTGTTTAGATTGATCCAATGATAGTTTTCAGTTTAATATTCATGCAAATGTTTTTATTACTTCTTTTGCTTCGACCACAATTTTTCAGCAACTTTTCATATCTTAGCTGAAAAAATGAGGAAACACTTCTGAGCCACTCTGGCACGTATATAAAATAGGTTTGTTTGAGCTGGTTGCTGATATGTATCAAAATACTCGTGGTCGAAGTTTATCTCATTTGTCAACAAAGATCGTTTGAAATCTTTTAAAATGTTGAAACTTTTATGGTTTATTCCCATTAAATAACTAAACAAATACGGTTTTCTTAAAGAAGAGTTGGTTCTCAGCAAGAAAAATGAATATTTCGTCTGCTAATTTTCTTTTGCTGGATCAACATGTTCAAGTGTCGATGAACGCAGTGAAGACACTCATGTAGGTTGTGATTATTTTTTTTGAATAAAAAATATGCAAATTTGTTCACGCCAAATTTGAGATTTTGCGGTTTGACTTCTAACTTCCTTTCAAGTTCGTTTGCTGAAGTGGTATTGATAGTAGATTCTTGTTGCGAAAAAGTTTTTCAGTTTTCGCGGGGACTGTTATATTGATGCAGTTTCCTTAATTTCTTAAATTGGGTTTTTTTAATCAAAAAAGTGTCCACAATAAAATGTTCTCAAAATATTTTATTCAATCAAGAGCTTTAAAGCATATGGTTTTTAATTTTTTTCTTTGAAACTCCGAATATGAACTTTTTTCAAAGAACAAGTAAGTCAGTATTTTTTCGGTTTTCTTTGCGTTCATTGACACTTATCCAACTGTGTTGGCTTTGTTTTGAAATTTCGGGAAAAGATGGTTTGTCATAAATCTATCTATTTATCTATCAATCTATCTATTAATCTTTTTAGCCGCATATCCATCTATCTATGTTTCTATCTATCTATCTATCTACCTATCTATCTATCTATCTATCTATCTATCTAAATGTCTTTTTATTTTTCTATTTAGCTTAACATGAAATGATTGGTGCTCAATTAAGCCCTTGCTTAAAAGTCCCTATATTGCCACCGGGACCGTAAAAACGGCGTCTATCTAAATTGTTAACTGAGTAATTAAGGGGGACACGATTTCGCCATGCGTTAGCCAATTTTACATATTGAAGCATTATGATAGCTTTGTGTGCATGATTCTGCTAATTTCTATATCAGTGTAGCTACGATGTTCACGTGGATTATTAAAGCGGTAATGTTGGCCAGATACTTTCAACAATCATGGTTTGTGTTGTGTGCCTTTTCACTTTTTTAATGCAGATTATTACACTTGTGAGCTTAAGTGGTGATCCTAACGCTTTTTGCCTAACTTAGAGTTCCAGTGAAAGCTTTACCTTGGCAAATCGCAAGTAATAATGTAAAGCTAATGGGGAGCGCGTATTGTGAAGATCGTTTAGTCAATAAGATGAGTAGTAACGTAAACAAAAAGTCAAGTCCAAAATAAGTTTGAATCTTCGAAGATATAGTCCCTCCTATGGCAGGAAATAAGGAGGGAGTAAAATCTGCAACCCCCCCCCACCCAAATGGGAACTACAGTGGCTAGGTTTATGAAACTCATAGGACGGATAATAGAGATGATTTGACCCGGGCATGCAAAACCCCAGACCCCCCGGCCCCAAGTGATAACGGTTCCCGGAAGTGCAAATGGCCCTATTAGAACTCGGTAACTAGCGGTTGGAATGGAACCAAAATATAGTATGTTATAGACCTAGTTGAGGGAAGCTTAAGTTTAGAAACCCAGACCCCTTGGACCCCTGATTCCGGTTTTATGCCCTATGCAAATAGACCCCACCCCGACTTCCGGGAGTCGTTTCTCGGACCCCACTGAACGCAGGAAGCTAAAACTTTGAGATAGCATAGGTAGCAACGAAGTACATCTTGTGTTATAATTTGAACCAAATCCAGCGGCTGAACCGGAAGTTATTTGCACTTTAAAAAACCATCCCTTAAACCGGAAGTAGGCAATTTACGTAAAATAATGAGCGAGGGCATATTGATTTATATAGTATATTATAGACCTAGTTGAGGGAAGCTTAAGTTTAGAAACCCAGACCCCTTGGACCCCTAATTCCGGTTTTATGCCCTATGCAAATAGACCCCACCCGACTTCCGGGAGTCGTTTCTCGGACCCCACTGAACGCAGGAAGCTAAAATTTTGAGATAGCATAGGTGTACATCTTGTGTTATAATTTGAACCAAATCCAGCGGCTGAACCGGAAGTTATTTGCACTTTAGAAAACCACCCCTCAAACCGGAAGTAGGCAATTTACGCAAAATAATGAGCGAGGGCGTATTGATTTTATGGCGGCATCAGATACTACAACTCACCCCCGGAAAAAGACCCCTTGTGATTAAAACCCCTCCAGCGACTCCTTCCGGTGTTAATAGCCTTTCCCCGGGAAAAGTGATAATGGACCTTAGAAATGGGATAACTTGGAAAGCATTAACGGGATATGGATGAAACTTGGTAGGTAGGACCCCTATGAAATTTTAAACCCGAATATGGAAGATTGACCCCCTGGTGACCTTAAATTGACCTTTAGGCGTTTAGGACCAAATTTGTATGGAAAACCTCGGGTTTAACACCGGAAAGAGGTGTATTCATTCGACCCCAACCCTTGGGAACGAGAATCGGTCACCTTACTAATATTTGGGAGGGAACTTACCTATTGGGGAATAATTGAGAAGCCGAAAAAGATATAGCCTAGACATTGTATAATTGAATTAGTGGAATCAATTGAAGTGAACTTAGCAAACATCGGGTTCAATCTAGCTTGGTAAATGCGCTATTAATACAATAACAATCAGGGTAAAAGAAAAGTAGTCCCAGAGGGAATTGATAGTAACTGAGTTATAGCATGGGAAGTAGGACTCCCAAATAACATGAATGAATAAGATATTTACTTAGCTCCCCGGAGGCAGCTTTTTGCCTCATTTCGACCCCTAATAAGCGAATTACGTTCCCCTAATAGCTAGAAGGTCGGGATTGGAATAGAGTATAGAACGGAATTTTAAATGTTTAGGATGAGTTAGCGACCCAGGAAAAGGGTCTTCCCCTACCCCTTGGAGGTTGGATCGTTAATGGGATAATTAGATAAAAACCTTGGGATAATTGGTTAATCAAACATAACTCGGTTTGGAGCTGAAATTGGACTTGATATTTGCACAAATTAGTTAGAGATGCCTTTAATGAACTTGGAACTTAATGCTAGTGTCGTCAGAGGAAGAATTCAGTTAGGACCTTACGAAAAGGGTACCAAAGTACTCAAGACTTCTAGGGACGACATAACTCTAACTATAACTTAAACTCAAATAGACAAACATTATAGAGAATAACAAGCACCCTACCCTTAGGCAGAACAGAGATAATTACTAGAGAGAGTAGTTGGTTCTCGTTAGTTAGAGAACAATTGTGCTGTGAGAGCGAATGGTTGGTTCTCAGTTAGTTAGAGAACAATAATTGCTAAAGAGAGAATTAGTTGGTTCTCCGTCAGAGTGAGAACAGTTTGAGCTACTATTAAGAGTAGTTGGGTTCTCAGTTATTTAGAGAACGAGGAAAACTAGTAGTGAGATTATTTGGGTTCTCAATAGTTAGAGAATCAGGAATTGCGAGGTAAAGAGATCAGTCAAAGTACATCAAAGGAATAGTGATCCTTAGCGACACTATTAATTTTAGTAGGTCGGACTGAGTGTTTGAGCGGAATTACTGTGAGTAATTAGTTAATTAGGATTCTCTAGAGAAGAGAGAATTGCAATTGTGTTGATTGATCGCGGACCTTTTCCTTTTGATTGAATTACTAGATTATATTCGGGCCGTCCAGAGCCTTCTGTATTAGGACCAATATTTATCCGAATTTAATTACTACTGAAAATTCTTGCGATCGGCGAGAGTGAGTGAGACAGCCTCAAGAGCAGCATAGAAAGGGGCAAGTAACAGAATACAGTACAGAATAGTTGCCACCAACTTAACCCTTACTTTACTAAAAATTAATGACCATGCGGAAAACTAATTTGAAAATTTTTCTTAAGCATTGCAATTGTAAGTTTCAGGGATTGCTTCTCTAGGTCCGTTCACACTCTCTTACTTAACGGCACCGCAAAGTGGTCTTTTTGCTAATGAATTCACCGGGGCAACCGTGATTCACTACTATCCACAATCCCGGGATTGTGGATAGTAGTGAATCTCGGTTGCCCCGCTGAATTCATTACCAAAGGGACCACTTTGCGGTGCCGTTAAGTTGGAGAGCGTGAACGAACCTAGAGAAGCAGTCTCTGAAATTAACAATTTCAATGCTTAAGAAAAATTTTCAAATTTATTTTCCGCAAGGTCGCTAATTTTTAGTAATTTTTTTGCGAGGACAAATTAAGTCTGTCTGTATACCTGCTTCTTTAATTAATTTGAACATGTGTGTCTACCCTTCTCCTAATTTTTTAATTTTCATTTGATATCTATCTATTAGATATTTAAAGTCTGATTCACTCGCCACGTTTAAGCTTTTTCAACGTATTAGTTTTACATGTTTAACAAAAGAATTTTTGCACGTCTAAGCTATATCGTTTATTGCAATGGTTTAGGTTTTTTCGGTTTTCCAGTTTAAATTCAGTTTTTATTTCATCAAGTTTGAAATGAGCAACTTAATAGTAAGATATTTTCAGAGTTTTCCCAGGGTTTGCGATTCTGGCTTCCATATATGAATAACCAAATCCTTTTAGTTTACGAGATTTTTCAAAAATTTCTAGAAAAATTAATTAAAAAAAATTCTCAATTTTTGAAGTTCTCACCCTGTAGTTGGGTGCTGTCAGGGTAGTCGCAGGCGTTGCGAATCTTGCCTCCAATTCTCACTTCTCAAATTCTTGTAGTTTTTGAGATATGAATTTTTTTATGCTTTAAAAAAAAAACATTTCAAAAACTTGGATTTTAAAGAACTCCAAAATGTTGTAGATCTCATTCCTATTGTTGGATTTTGTGAGGGTACTCTTAGGATTTGCGAATCTTGCCTCTGAACGTTTTTTTAGGATTTATTTCAAATTTTTTCAGAAAACATAGATATGAAAATGTTCATAAAATTTGATGTTTCGAATCTCTGCGGTGACGCTCTGCCAAGTTACTCTCAGGAGTTGCGAATTTTGCCTTCAAATATGACTGCTCAAATCCTTATAGTTTTCGAGATACGACGTTTTTTAAGGTTTTTTCCGAAATTTTCAAAAAAACTTAGATGTTAAGATGTTTCAAAAAAGTTGAAGATCTCTATCCTGTTATTGCAATCTGTA